ATCAAAGATGCATTTATCTTCCAACAGGACAATGACACCAATCACACACCAAATAAAACAAAATAATGGATGGTGTACAATGTCTTTACGTTTTGAGGTACCCTGAGTCCAAATGACCAAGTCCCGCAAAATGGTCTTTGTGTCTGTGAACAGTCTAGCTCAAAAACGAAAACTTGTAAGAAACTGATATTACATATTTAAGATAGGTATATTCCCCCCTAAAGTAAACCCCAAGCAAATTGAAAACACCACCACAGTCTCCGGACATAAATGCCATAGAACACCGATGGTACCTGTTTGATTTGAAATTAAGAAAAAAAAAAGTTTCTTTAAAAATTATTTAAAAGAAACTTCTTCAGAGGAATGGTGTAAAATTGGACAAGACAACTCTCAAAATTTTGTTTTATCGATACCAAGAAGATTCCAGGATGTCATAGATGCCAATGGTATGATGGCAAAATATTAATAAATTTCCAGTACGTGAAATAAACCTTAAATTAAAGTGTGTCAATGCTTTTTTGACTGTATTGAAGTGATTTTTCGTTTGCTGAATTTCTTAAGTAAATTTAAATTTTTTTTACCCCAATTATGTACTTTTCTAAATCTTGTATTAAATAAAAATGTTTAACAAATCAATTTTGGATTCTTTTACAATGAAACCTGAAAAAAGTTAAGAGTGCCAATACGTTTTTGATTCACTGTATATAAATATCTTTAATTTATTGTATTGTGTTGGATTACAAACCCATTTACACCTTCTCTACTCTCATGAGAACTTAAAAATCTGCCATGGTTTTTCTGATTTGCTTATTGTTTATACTTGTAGGCTTGTGTAAGAATGCAAATTGTAACTAGTGTTATATTCATTATAACATTTATAAATAATTAAAATTATTTATTCCTTGGTAGCATGTATATGCAGAAAAGGAGAGGTGGGAATGAACACCAGGTCGATGCATACCAAATATGAAAATCAGTAAGTCTTCAGGAAAAGGAAAAGTAAATCCCTGACGCAATCAGCTAAAACTAAAAGTTAAAAAAATCAGTGTTTATCTGTCCATGTAAAATTGCTAATTCTGTCTTTGGGAATCAGAATAGCATTTATGTAGATCTAATCTGATAATAGTAGTATTTAGATACAAATGTATATCTTTGACTTCTTTTGCAGAAGCTTTCTTTTGAAATGTAAAAACTTTAATGCATACATTTTATTCTGTCTTTAAGGAGTGAACAAGAATCAATCAACCAGTGGCTTTTCCAAATTAATTATTATTAAATTATACCATTTTTAATTAATTTATAGGCAGAGATGGAGTAGGTTTATTAAGGCGGCAAAAGATCTGCAAGGTCTGTAATGCCAACAGAAATAAAAAAAAAAAAAAAAGTTTATTAATAATAAATAATTAAATTCAAAATGTTTTTCTGGCATTGAAATATGTTGATCTTATAAAAATTGAGTTTCATTGTGTGAAACAAGAAACTGTTATCATAATGTAGTACAGTCCAACTTAACTAATTGAAACGTTTAAAATTCAAAATCATGGATAATTCAAACTTTCTTGTTAGCTATTTATTTTTTCTGTTCAATAAAATATTTAAAAAAACGTGTGATTTAATATTTTATTTGGGTAAGATAAAGTGAAATCTAATATGTTATTTGCCTGCGAAAACTACACATACATATATCCTACATTATTATGTCACCAATTGATTTATCAAGGAGAGAAAAAAAGATTAGTAAATGTCAAATAATTGATTGTTATCAGGGGTGAATACCCTCCCTCCCCCAAGGCTAATGGTGCATGCCCCTCAAAAATATATGATTGTACTCCTCATTTATATAATTAATACGAATCTATATTCGATGTTACATTAACAAATTTGTTTAAAATATGGTAAATTATATAATATTTTGTTTCTCAAGAATAGGTATATATGTAATAATGCACAATACATTTTAGATAATTATAATTAACAAGTTCACTTCAGTAATAGACACATATGACTCATACCTGGAAGACCAATGTTTTTTCTTTTTCTTTATCCTCTAGTCTAAAAGATTTTTTTTAAAATTTAAAAGTTAGAAAATTTTTATTTCCTACATAAAATTACAACCTGTCCAAAATTGCACTCTCCCAAAAATTTTGATGGCACATCTTGTGTCATACAATCCCCTTCAGGATACCCCTGATTGTTATTAGTATTAAAAACTCTATTGACAATTTAAGTCATAAATTTGTTTAAAGAGATTCACATTACTTGTTTTGTTTTTTTAAAAAAGGAGATGTACTGCCTTATACTCAATTAAATTTTACTAAAACCATTACTAAAAATAATATGAAGTTTGAACGAATGATGATTGATTTTTGTTATCATTTTATTTTATATCATTGGACATACATATTGACAATCTTTTTTCACAATAAGTCAATAGAGAAAACTACAATGAAATCAATGTTCACAGTGAACCTTCTATAGATACCAACAAGTTTCTCAATGATGGGAGTAAAAATAAAAACAAAGGTTTTTCAGTTGGAAATCTTGGATGATTCTATTTTTTTTTTCAGTAGTACCTTCAACTTCAAACTGAATGCGTTGCACTATAGTAAGTTTTGTATCAAAAAGGTTAAATTCATATATTAATATCATTGATAAAAGTAGCTAACCTGAAGTATTGAGTGAAAGGAGGCTCACTATATAATTTTCACTGGGCCAAGAATTAGCTGACCAGGCCATCAACTTATTTCGTTTTGAGACATTTTTTTTTTATTATTATTCTGTGGAAGATTGTTTAATACCTTTACAATTATTTCTCAAACCTTCAGGTTGATATTTTAAGATCTTGTGACCACTTAGCGTCCTTACCACTTTATCCACTTCTGTGGCTTATAAAAGGAGAGATTTGATATTTAGTTATCACCTAATTCACAATATTTATAGATTTAGTAATTTAAAAAACACTACAGATCTTTCTACAAATATGATTTATACCATACATGATTTTGCCATTATGAGTAGCTTCTTAAATTGTGTACCTTAGGCAAATGTTACTTTTAAAAAATGTATAAACCAGTATATTAACATTTTATATTAATTTCAAAGCCAGTTTTCATTATAAAAATGTTTACACATACCTCCTTATTAAACTTCTGAACATGAAAATACAAATGTTATTTTTAGAACTATCTCATATTTATAAATTATAAATATTAAACTTAACAATGACCTTAGCATCCCTTGTAAATGGTATACACAACAAAATTATTGTTGATTATAAAGTTCTTGACGGCTAGGACAAACATACATAGCTTTGCTAAGTTGGTTAATTTTATCAGGGATTAAAAACCTAAAATCAGAACAGTTAAAAGATGGAAGAGACGGCTTCAGAGCCAAGCTACTACAACTAATCCAGAAAATATGGGAGGAGGAAAAGATACCAGAGACTTGGAATACAGGACTAATCTGCATATCCTAGAGAAAGGCTCCATGTATAAGTATATTAAATACAGAGGGATAGAACTCCTTCTGGTTACCTACACGATGACCAATATCCTACTAAATCAGATATATCCATATTAAGAAAATATAATAGACAGTTACCAAGCTGAATTCAGAGAAGGAAGGAGCATGGGAACTGGAAGTTCCCGGTAAGTTGGTGAGATTGAAAAAGTTGTGTACAAATGACCTTAAAGTCGAGTCCTAATACAAGGAGAAGTATCTGAAGCCTTTAAAGTTTGAACGGGCTTATGCCAGGAAGATGGACTATCACCTATGTTGTTTAATTTAGCCTAGGAGAAGGTGATAAGAACAACATCACATGAAAATGGAGGGGTCCATGTTGGAATGAATCATAAAATCCTTGGATAAGCAGATGATAAAGCTATCTTTGGAAGTAATCAAGAGAACATTGAGGGACTCTGATAAAAGAAGCAGAGCAAATTGGCATACAAGTAAATGAAGACAAAACAAAACAAATGATAAGCTTAAAAATCCACCCCAGTAAGAGGATCTACGTAGAAGGGAAATCGTTCCCGAGTGTCGAAAAATTCAAATACCTTGCCTCCCCAATAACCTCAATGAATGACCAACAGTTGGAAATAGAGCAGCGCAAACAGAGCTTTCTTATCCCTTTCAAAGGTATTTAAGTCCAAAAAAATCTAAAATTAAGGGTGTACAGTGCTATGATAAAGCCATTTCTAGTATATGGCTACGAGACCTGATTACTAACCAGCGCCCTAGGAAAAAGTATTGAAAGATTTAAGAGAAAAATCCTCAGCACAATAACCGGAGCAATCAGAGTACTAATACGTTAAGAAGAAAGACCAATAAAGAGCTGCTTACAGAGAAACTGGTCAATCAAGGCATGAAGGCGGGGCATGTAGCTCAGATCTGGAAACATTAACATAACAATGAAACCTTCAATAAAGGCAAAAGACTATGTGGAAGGATTTAAAGTAGATGGATGGATAGAATCAACAAAGCTGCAAGCAGATAAACGGAGCGAAATGTAAGAAATCTGCCAAGGTAGGCAGAGATGGAGTAGGTTTCTTATGGCGGCAAAAGATCTACAAGGTCTGTAATGCCAACAGAAACAAAAAAAAAGTTTGTTAATAATAAATAATTAAATTTAAAATGTTTTTTTTTTGGCATTGAAATATGTTGATCTTATAATTAATATCTAACATGAAAATATTATATTCAATGGATTTATAAGATTATTCTCTTATTAATAAAATTAATTTGCCTCATTAATAAATGTTTACTGAAAGTTTAATTTTTAATATAAAAATAATCAACTTCAGATCATAACTAAAGAAAACTTTTATTGTTTCAAATTAAGTTATTATTTAAACAGTAAAATAATCACTGTATTTTCATAATTTAATATCCATGTGGAAACAAAGGAAAAAATAATAACTTTTTAATAACTAACACTTGAATACTTAATATTATGAAAAAAAAATTATTCAAACCAAATTTCAGAGTTTAAAAAAATCATAGTGGGTTTTAGGTAAGAAAAAACTGTATAAAATAAATAAATTTATTACCGTGTTTACAATTAACTGTCTCTAAATTTTTGAATTCAAAAATTTCCAAATTTTTAACACTTACATTAACCAAATAAAATTAATTATGAAGAGAAAGGCTAACCTCTTACCTAATCATCATTAACTCCACTGAGAGGAACTGGGATGGGATTACAGGAGAGCACATCATTGATTTATTTGGTATTATTTTAATGAATATGTGGTCTCCTGATAAAATTAAATAAAATTATGTTCACAAAAGTTTGTGAAACACTTGGGTATTTTATTTCAACAGTCTTAAAGGTAGTGATGCTTTACAATTAACAGCTACGGTTGCATCATCACAGGAGCATTATTAATTATACATATCCTTACCAAAAAGAATTATATAAAAAGTCACAGACATTTTTTTTTTTTTTTTTTTTTTTTTTTTTACATTTCAGAATTGTCTATACAAAATGCCTTATATGCATTAGGGTTTAAAATAAGACATTTTTTTACATTTCAGAATTGTCTATACAAAACGCTTGGAATATGGTTTTAAAATAAACATTTACAAAGCTGTATTTATTTACAATATTAACACATAAAAACGAGAATGCATAATGAGCACAATTGTTCAAAAATAAGGCAGGTCCACATCTCATAAAAACAATTAACATTAACATTCACTATAAGGTTGGTGGTGCTGCAACATAGTCCTAGAAGTGTACTCGGGCTGTAAATGGCAAACTACAGTTTCTCCATCTAGAACTGCAACAGTGCCCTGTTGAGCAGTTGCTCTGTTTTGAGCTTGTTCTTTTAGCCTTTGCCTAAACGCAGCATCAAAGGCTGTATGAAAACTCCTATCAGTTGCTGGACTGTAAGGAATGAGAGGCCTGTGGTCACCATAACTTCTTGATGACTGCCTACTCATATCACTTTGACGACGTCCATCTTCATCACTCATATCACTAACTTGGATTTCAGCTCTTTCCCTTTCTATTTCTTCATACACAGGATCCTCATCTCTAATCCTTTGCCCTCTTTCCCTTTCTCGTATTTCTGTGTAAGTATGATTCCAAGGGCTGGTAGCTCTTATATTACCATTTGCTTGTTTATTACGATGTTGAATAGTTACGGACTGCATGTGTTGAATCTGAGGCTGAAGATGTGAATGAGAATATGCTGATGAAATATAAGTTTGTCTAGGGCCTTCTTTGTGTCGTAATAAAGAATTACTGGTCAAAACGGTAGTATGAGCCTTGGGAGAATCCTCCTGTTCTGAACCACCATGTCCAGAGTCACGACTAAATGACTTAAAAGAAATGTTCTGTAGAAAAAAAAGAAAAAAGAAATTAGGCTCAATAAAAACTAGTAAACATTGTAAAAAGAATAATAATAATAAGCATAATAAATATCATTATTTAATATTATACGAAAGAGGAAACATTTATAAATGTAATCTTAAAAAAGAACTTGTTAACATTCAAGATTATTTTCTTATCCATGTATAAATACGTATGGCAAAACATTTAAAAAGACAAAAAAAGATGTTGTTGAAACAATTAAGTTTGATTTGTTTAAAATGCAAAGTAAGGTAAAGAACTATACTATTAATAAGCTGAACATTTGACTAGAATTTTTTTGATTACTAATAAGAATTTCATGAAGGTTGTCAATAACAATTTGGAGTATCTTAAATTTTAAAAATTGTAAAATGAAAAATGGACCATTAAAAAGGAAAAATTAAGATAGCCAAGGGGATTTAGAAATGCCAATACTTGAGTGAAAAAAATACTTATAAGTAAACACCGAAAAAATTCATAAAAATAAAATAATAAAAACTATTATTCTAACATTAACACTAGATATAATGTTGAATGACATAATTAATCTTATTTTATTTATTTTTTAATGACTCAAATTGAAGAAAGTAAAGGACCAAAACAAATATAAATCATATTCAAAGAAGAAACCAGATCATTCACATCCTAGACTACTGGTTCACATTAATATTAAAAACAATCAATTATTGGGATTTTTGGGATTCTCATGTTTAGTACTTTCTAAGGTTAACTTAAAATGATAGTAATTATGGCTAATTAAAAGAATAAATTAATATCATCTATTCATTATAAGTATACTACCATTAGCACATACATGTTTTTTTTTTCTTTTATCGGGTAACAGGTCAACTTTTTTTTATTTATTTTTTTTAGTAAAGAAAACTATGTTGTTAAACCAATAAATAAATAGCCATAACACCAAACAATGTACTTTAGTATACACTTAGAAATAACAATTTATGTCCATCTGTAATATTGTGATGTCTTAAAAATTATTATGCATAATATAATTTTGTCAAATTGTGCAAATTATTTTTTATAAACATCATTTTGAGAATCTATCTAAAATAAAACCTGTTTTTTTTTTTTGTTTTTTTTTTTTTAAAGAAAAATTGTCAAAGTTGCATCTTCTTTTCCAATAACAATGCTATAATACTTTTGAAAATAAATTCTTCACTGGAGATACTGGGACAATATATATGTATATATTTATTCCATACATTAACCCTCACAATCTGAACTTTCTATCTGGTAGATAGAAAACAAAAATGACATGACCTATTACCCAATAAAGAGAAAAAAAAAATATTCTCTTACTGAATTAGTTAATTGAGTGTATTTAGATAAAATAAATTAAAAAAAAGAAGATAAAAAGAGGAAATAGCAAAGTAAACAAGGTTAAAAGCATTAAACCCTTCAAGCTGTCATGCAAGTGCAAGTGGTAAACACAGGGTGCTCACCTTCCAAACAGAAGGCTTATGAAGCGGGCCCCATGTTGTAGCAGACTTTGGGATGTTAGGGGGAGGGAATCCTGTGGGTCTGGGGGTGGGTCGAACATAAGGCAAAGTGGCAATGGACACTTCGACTTGATTTTCCGCAGTGATCCCTCTTGGCCAACCTGTAGTCGGCCCACTGTACTGTAATCATACCAATACCACTTTCCCTCATCCTCATACTTAATGGATTTATGCCATGATTCATGTCAGTTTGAAATAAAATTTTAATCAATATAAACAAAACACAAAACTGTTCTATAACCAGCATCCCTTTGAATAAATGTCTATTGAAAATAAACAATTAATAAAAGTAATGATCTAATTATCAAAGCATAATACTATAAATTTAATTTAAAATGGCATATCATAAAAATAAAAAACAAAAGCAATTTACTTACGAGCTTCTTTTTCAATTTCTAAATTATACATATATATATATATATATATATATATATATATATATATATATATATATATATACTGAGAAATTATAAAAAAATATTATTTTTGGATTTATTATGTAATTATTAGGTAATAATGAAATTATCAATCCATTTACTTTGATGATGCATGCTAATCCTGACATTAAATAATTGTCATTATAACATTTAATTTGATAATAAAAGGGCAATTTCTTGAAACATTTTAAGTAAACTGAATATTTATTGGAATATAATTACATTTTAAATTAAATTCCCCTCCACAGTATCATAATAATTAAACTAAACCAAATATTAAAGGTTCTTAAATTGGAGTCAAATGACATAATTTTATTACCAGTTAATATAGTGAAAAATAAAATAAGGGTTGAAGCCATAAACAAAGTACTGGAGAAGCAAATATATGCAATGTGAACATTATTATCAATAACAAATTGTTAGCATATTGAAAAAATAATAAAGATACCAATAATTTGGCTATATTTAATTTTTTTTCATTTGAATATTATTGCGATTTATTTCAGTAACTTATTCAAACAGCATTAATTTAAAAAAAAATTGGTCAATAGTACATGATACTTAATCTAATTTCTTCAGCACACTAAATGCTGAGGGTGATGTGACATGGGGCTGGACTTACAGCTGATTATACTAACAAAGTTTCCTTAATCATTATTAATGTAAATAACAAAACACTTGAAATACCATGAAAGTCAAAGTTACTATTGCTTCGTGAAATATAATGGTTTTGTCATTAAAAATTACACGTTTAATTTAGGGTTCAAAGAACAAGTAAATAAAAATAATCATAGTGACGGAAATGTTCATCAAACAGTAACTAGTTTACAAGAATCATATTTTAATCCTCAGTAATAATTATTACAATACTTTTTTTTTTTAAAAAAAAAAGATTAAAATGAAAGGAAAACATTAGAAATTAATTTAATTTTGAATATCTGATTTCCAAATGCTTTGAAGTTATCAGCTTTTTTTTATAAGGTTGTATAAAAAGAAGTAATGGTTAGTAAAAATTACCCAACTAAAAATTAATCGATATAAAAAAACGGAAAAAAAAAAAAATTACTCAGATTGAACATACTGATTCGGGTATAAGAAACAATAATAATGTGTTTAAGAAAAATTACAACGGAACAGATAACTATTTTTAACTTAGGTGACTTGAAATAAATTAAAATATAAATATATTGCTTTCAAACTTACTGCGTGGTAATTTTCTGTGGCATTAAACACAATTAAGAAAGTATCTCAAGAGAAATTTCTAATAACTTAACTATACTACTCAGACTTAGGAAAATTTTATGTCGAATAAAAAATTTGTTTATTTTTATTATATTTTATTTATTTTTTATTTTGAGGCCAACGTGATCAGTGAGCCTTGTAAGAGTAAAATAACAAATAAAACTCCTTAAAACCGCAATTAATAAATAAAAATTATCACACCTTTATTCACAAGCCATGAATTACGAAACATAAAATTATTTGTTTCTAAATTTTCTTTTTAGTTTAAGTATTCTTTAATAGTTCATTAAAAATAAACAATTTATCGGCCAATGATTTTTTTTTTTTCATTTTCTAATAGAAAATACGTTGGAACACCGGTAATAAGTAAGTAATAGAAAATAGAATTTATTATTGAAAATTTACTAATAAAAGTATTATTGGTTATTTATAAACTAAAATTAAATACAATAACATCTTATATATTTCCTATTTTTATTTAAATGTCATATATTGAACATTGAAGTGTATATGGGTTTTTTCAAAATGTAATTCACACTGGGACCACTAGCGGATCCAGCAGGAGGATGTCTCCCCCCCCCTGTAATAAAATTCCAAAAAAGTGGCAAAAAATACCTATTTAAAGAAAAGAGATATATAGGGAAAATTCATCGTCATAGTCTGACACTCCTAATGCAATAGAAAAAAAACTATCGTGACTAACACAAGCGAATCCCTTGGATGGTGGAAAAAATTCCGAAAAAAAGTTCCAAAAACACCTATTTAAAGAATAGAGCAATATAGGGAAAATTAATTCTCATAGGCTAATTTCCTAATGTAATATTAAAAAAAAGTTATTATAGAGACCAGCTCTAGCGAATTCTGCCAGGGGGCACGCCGCCCTTCCTTGGATGGTAGAAAAAAATTCCGAAAAAGTTTCCAAAAAACACCTATTTAAAGAAAAAAGAAATATAGGGGAAATTCATGCTCATAGACGAACTTTCTAATGTATTATTAAAAAAAATTATTATCATGATCATTTTTATTAATCTTAAGGTTTGTCATATTACATCACCTCACGAGGCTGTGGCGCACGGCGAGATTTTGTGAAATGAAGAATAGAATGTAAGTGTAAAAGTTGGCTCGTAGGATGAAGTGATGTAGTTTTTGGGCCACCATGAAATGCGAAGGCTCCAGACGTAATAGGAAGTGATAACTAAAAAACTATTTAATTTAAGTAATTAAAACGATTACTTTAATGTAAATTAGATAAAATTTACTTTAAATAAAAACAGAGTTTGCTATTATTAAAACAATTTAAAGAGGACTTTTGATTGGCGAAACTCAGCTAAGGAGTGGGAGGAGATGGGTAGTGGTGGGGAACAGGCAGGAGTGGAGGAAGGTGTGCTCCCTCCCCCCCCCCTCTGAGAAAATTCCTGACTGGGACACATCAGGTTTTATAAAAAAACAAATTAAAGAAATTGAGTGGTTTTTTTTCTTCTTAGAATATTTTTGTTTTGGGAAGTCGCCAATGTGAGCATACATAATCATTAACATAACCATAGGTACCATCATTTCGAAAATAATAATAATATAATTATTAAATATTATCTTAAGAGTATGGCTCTGTTAACGACTGATTATAACAATTTAATGAAATGTATTGTGGGTAAATAATTTTACTGTTCAGTTTTGTTACATTCGACTTAATTTGTCAAAATTTTTTGAACAAAATTTTTTGAGAATGTTTATTTGCTATTTGCAGCAAATGAATGATGAATTAACTGGCATTGCCATGAAACAAAATGTTTAGATGGTGTTATATGGCAATGGACCGGCATTTGTTTGTAATGTTATTCGATAGATTTAAAGATTTCCTAGGAAATGAGAATCTAGAGAGAGAATTCAGCCTTCCATGGGCACAAAAGCTTGGTCAATTTTTGAAAGAAGATTTAATTCATAATATTTTAAAACAAATTACTATCAAACTGCACTCAGTGTAGAAAGTTTGCTCAAAACTGATATACCTTCATTGAAAAACTAATGAATTACGAAGTGAGGTAACAAAAAAAAAAAAAAAAAAATCAAGTTGTTAAATCAAATTATTATCCCCCATAATAAGGTGAAAAGAGATCTAGGTCTGAAAAAACAACAGAAGAGAGGGTCTTGAAGCAGTTGTCTCTGGGCAAAAAGAAGAACAGAATTTCCCTTTCTGCTTTGTTTCACATAAATTTTGATTTTTTTAAGAAGTGAGCATTAATACCGGGGACACTCTAGAAAGTGTCACGTGAAATGCAGTAATCAATATTTTTTAAAATGTGAATATCAAAATTAGCCATCATATAATTTCTCATTAGCCCTAGATTTAGGGATTCCTTCACAATATAGTTCATAATGTACAGCTTGCAATATTAGTACCTCTGGATTGTAACAACAATAGGGTGTAAGAAATCAGCATTTTATGTATTATTTACTGGATTATATAATTACAAATTTTACCAAACAATGAATGGGAAGTAAGCAATGAAAGAATCGAACATGAGAAAAACTTATTTAACTGCTTTCAGTTGTGATTTGACCCGGTTATTGCTCAGTGACATAAAAAGGTTTACAATTTTAAAATTATATGTGTTGCTGATTGACTGCATGGTATATCAAGAAGTAGATGGCCTGGAATTCAGTCAGAAAAAACATTTAATAGCTGCTATCTATTTATAGAATGCCGACATTTCGAATCACATTGTCTCTCATAGCAGCTACTAGATCTCCAAATTTCAGCCCTGATGAAGACCTATAATATGGGTCGAAATGTCAGCAATGAATAAATAATTAGCAATTATACTTTTATTCTAAATGTTAGCTGGACCACCCCCTTCTATATTTACAATTTAAAGGTATAATATACACATAATTTTAAACTTCATAAATTACTGAGGTTATTTATCAGCAACGTCTATCTTTTTATTTATAATACTTCAATACAGATGTTATTATGATATAAACCAAAATGGGTATTATGAATTGAAAAGAACCCTTTTTGCCCTGAATATCAACTATTAAACTAACTTTACAACTTTAAAAGCATTAATTATTTAAAAATTAACTACAGCTAATCTGGTTTGGTATTTAGTCATTATTGGTTTGTAATAGCTATTAATAAAATTTATGGAAAAGATATAAATCCTCAAAATAATAATTATTAAAAATCTAAAATATACCAAAACAATTACCTAAAAAACTAATGGGAAATGGTTTGCAGGATACATGAACTATTATTATTATTTCATTTTTTTTTTTTTGCATAAGTTTGATTCAATATAAAATATTTTAAATTTATAAATTATGTAAATAAATAAAAATGGAACTTCTACTGTCAGTCATTTTTCACTTTTATAAAGTATTTTAAACATAAAGAGTAGTTTTGATTTTTTGAAAAAAGAATATTAAGAGCTGTAAATTAAAAAATCTATAACAATTGTTACTATAAGAAATAATTTTCTGATGAAACAAAACCAATCAAAATATTAAATCAATTGACTCTTTTTTTTATCAACAATTCATAATGTACTGACTAATAAATAAATAATTGATTTACATTTTCACACAACTCATGAATTTACTTGAAATTACACCACAAGGTTGTTTAAAGTCAGAGTAAAATGTGTAGACTTTAAGATCAATTGAACTACAACAAAATATTTAATTTTATTTCTTTAGTTAAAATATATTTAATTAGATTATAGATGAACATAAAATTATTTACACTGGAATTTATTAGTAGACCAGAGTTTCAATATGACAAAAAGGCGAAATACTTGGGAAATTTACTGAAATTGACTGTGAACCATATGTAATGTATAAAGTAGTTAAATCCAATTTTGATCTTATCATTATTTTATACAGGTTCCGGCCAACCTAATGAGCAAAAAATAAATACTTGAAAACAATTAAGTAAATTGAAACATTTCAAATACATAATAATCAAGTTTAGCTCCGAAATTCTCCATAATAGATGTAACAAAGGTTCAAAAAGTGAACTAAAGGCATACTTAGGCTATTTGATTCAATAACTGTCAGTAAAACATGTAACAATTTTTAGACTTGATTTAATGATCAAAGGATTTTGTGCTAAATGCAGTTTATGTCTCTAAGTAAAACCCACCTCCTAAAAAAAAAATATTTCAAGGAAACAATCTTAAACACCTCCAAATAAGTATCCTTATACTAAAACAAAAACAAATGGGGGTATAGGAAAGGTATTGATTTATTTCTTATATTATATTAGTTTATTGAGATTAGAAACTATAAGCAGGTTAGAATATGCATAAAATTTGTGACCACCACCAATATTAATATATATATTCTTATGGTTAATTTAATGAGTTTTATAATATGTCAGACATTAGAGATGCTAGTTAGAGAATGTGGTTTGGTTTAAGGCATAAAAAAAAAAAAGAAAAAAAAGAAAATAAAAGAAATTAAAAAAAATAGAACAGAGCATTGGAAAATAATTTAAATCCAATCATAAACTAATAAAATTAGCTGATATTAAAGGATGTGAGGCTCTTTAGTTTCTTTTTTTCTTTTTTTTTTTTTTTGGTTTCCAAGAAAGCTAGTGTATGATGAACAAGCTTTTTAAAGATTGATCTATTTTCAATTCAAGCCCAGCCCCATGTGTTAGTGATGGGGTTAGTGAGAGAATATTTTATACCTTGGTGTGTGGGGCTGGGCATGGGGGCTATGGGTATTCTATGAACGTAACTACCCACGCTAGTTCCATGTGGAGTGGGAACAGCAGTTCCTGCAGCTGCGGAAGATGCTGAAGTACTCTCTGTACTCTGAGCATTTCCATGCGAGCCAGTATAGAGACTTGTCCGCCTTTCCTTACTTTCTCCACTGCTACTTCCGATGCCACTTCCACTTTCCTGACATCCCAAACATTTAGAAAGCCAGAGATGCCTTCTCAAGAACTTCCTATATTCCTTCTGAACCTGAAAAAACATTATTTTACTAAATTTAAGAATTGCAGATTCTGGAGCGTTTTCTAAACATAATATGGAAGAAAATTACAAAATTGAAATAAAAAACTGGACAATATGTAGACATCATAAAAAATGCATAAATAAATGTTTTAATGACCCTGAAGACTTAATAACAATTTATGTTTCTCTGATTATTGCCCTTTATGCAACTTCTTCAAAACTCAAACCAATAGTGCAGGGCTTAATTTAATCTTCTCACCTAAAAACTTGATAAAACAGTTTATCATTTCCCTTATCTTATCATACAACATTCATTTTCTTATTCGTAATTTATTTCACATTTATTCTGCTAACTTCAAATGCCCATTTCTAACACCTTTTTTTCATATTAATAATATAAATGTTGCTGGTCTTATACAGCCTTCATCCCTGTTATACTCTCTTAAGACTTATTATTTAATGTAATTTCTAGTTCTCAATAAGTTATGCATTATTCTTTCTTGGCATGAGTAATTATGTTTCACACTCTTTCAGTTGTCCCAGAGATGGTAAAACTAAGATTTAAAAAATTAGAATTGTTTTACTTTGTTATCATAAATTTTAACAGGAATAAAATGTTTCATCCACTTTCATGAATTCAAAACATGGAACTGTTTTGAATAATATTTTTATTTAAAAAAATAAATTTGATTTTAAGATGCATTTAAATTAAAAACAGCTCTCATTCAATCTCATAAGGGATTATTAATCCCTATAATATTCAACACTCAATAACAAATATTGTTTAATCCACATTAAGTTTCCACCATCAGAGGTAACTTAATCCTACCAATCACAATTGTCACTTCTACTGTCAACTATACCCACACTACTATACCAATATATGAAAATAAAAAAAAACACTGCACATATGTACGTACATAAGAATATTACAATAAATACATACCTTATCATTTTGAATACAGTGGAATACAAATATAAACAGTCCTTGTGAGCTGTTTAGAACTGTAAATATATAGGCCATGATGACAGATTCTTTATTCAAGTAGAGTAGCCCGAAAGTCCATGTAAGTCCTAACAGGAAGACAAGAACAACGGCTCCTCGCAGCCAAGCCCTTTAATTGAAAAATAATCAGAGATTAGAGAAAACAGACTATTTATCAAATTCTTCCTAATTTCAAAAGTGGAATGAAAACATTAAAATATCCACCGCAAGCTTGAAAAAAATAATTTGGTAATTATACATTAACAGAAATTTTTTCCTTATGCTTTAATAACACAACATGGAATAATTAATGATATATATATATATATATATATATATATATATATATATATAATTGTTGTATAATTACCAAATATATATACACCTAGTTCTGTTATAAATACTGTTACAAAAGTTGAACTTTGTTTACATCCTTGGGTGTTATTTAGATAATCCTTACCTCTAACAGGTCATTTTTTTTACATGTCAGGATAATAATCCCAATTAGTTTGTATTTTTCTTTCACTCAGTTAACATGGAATGAGGTGATAAAGAAAACTGAATAGCTATGATCGCCTTACAAGAAGTAAGAAAATGTAGGTCAGAGATTTTCAACACTTTGAAACCTTTGGGTATCAGCCGTATGGCTCATGTACTGCACTATAAATAGATATGAGACCCTATCTGTATGGGATAAACCTCGACCAGGTTGTCCCCGCACTGTGAGAACGACAAACACAGTGAGAGCAGATTCAGAAGAAATCCCATTCGAAAACAACAAATCATGTCTCGGGAAATGGGAATCTCAGTCAGATCAATGTCTCGCATATTAAAAAGTGACCTTAGAATGGATGCATTTCGAAAAATGACAGGACAAAGGCTAACCTCTTCCCTAAAAAAAAATTAGAGTGGATAGATGCAAAGTGCTCCTTGTCCGTTACATCAATGGTCTTCAACAAATGATTTTGTTTAGTGATGAAAAAATGTTTACGATTGAAGAAAAATTTAGTTGTCGAAATGATCATTTGTACACACACAGTTCTAAAAAAGCCCAGGAAGACATTGGAAGAGTGGAAAGAGCTAATTACCCTTCTTCAGTGATGGTTTGGTAGGGAGTTAGCTTTTATGGCACCACAAATCTCCATATTTGTGAAAAAGGAGTTAAAACAGCCACTAAAAACTATCAAGACAATATTTTAGAACCTGTTGTCAAGCTTCTAAATGATACACTGTTTGCTGGAAGACATAGGGTTTTCCTGCAGGATTCCACTCCAGTTCACAAGGCCAGGTCAACTCAGCAGTGGCTGCAAAAGAACATTCCAGAGCTCATCTCTGCCTTAGATTGAACCTCAGGAAGCTCTGATCTCAGAACCCACTAGATTATCAGCTTTGGTCCGAAATGGAGGTGATGGCAAGCCTCAGAGTACACAGTAACTTGGAAAGCCTCAAACAATCTCTGGTCTGAGCAGTTAAGAGCTTTCCTCAAGAAGTCCTGTGTGCTACTACTGATGACTGGCCACAGAGATTAAATGCCTGTGTCAAAGCAAAAGGGGGACATTTTGAGTCATTTTCTCTTTTGTTTTACTCTCTGTAGACATACATTTTATTTTTTAATAAAGGTTTTGAAAAAATTATTTTTTCTGTTGAAATCTGTATGTATTTTCTTGTAACAATATTTATGACAGGACTTGGTATATACCGTGCCAGCCTTAGACATTCGGTGCCCTCCGGGCAATGACGTCATCTCCTGCCCTAAAAAAATTGTTTGTATTTCTTAAACTGTTTTATATCATGTAATATTTGAATTTTATTTCATTCAACATTTCATACAGTTTCTTAATTGATAGGTTGTAATCAATTATTTTAATACATTTTGTAACTTTTTTTTTATTCCTTAAAAGTGGTGAGCCCCAGTCGCTCCACCCTAAGGCCGGCACTGTATATATATATATATATATATATATATATATATATATATATATATATCATTTTCTTCTGTTTTTAAATGGAGTATTTTTTTCTTGTGTTAAGTTTAAGTAGTTAAGTGATTAGTTTTAATAAAAACAGTTTTAAATCTATGATAATATCTAATACCAATAAACGAAAAGAAGCAGCTTCATTAAATATCTTATCAGGGCCATGAAAATATTAGAATCACTAGAAAGTTAAACAGTATTCATCTAAAACTACATTGCTTTACCTACAAACAAAATGAAGATATAAGCACAGCTATATACAAGTTTAAAAATAGCAATGTTTAAGGAAGCCAGCTATTTATTATTATTATTATTTTGTCAATATACTTAGCATATCTTTCTTTTGATACAACAAATATTGTTATTTAGTGTGTTATGAAGTTTAACTCATTAGAAGATTAGAAGCTTAGAATTTTTTTTTTTTTTAAATTGGAACTATAATAACAATAATATTCTCTCTTTAAACAAAATTTATTTGGGATATTAAAAATTTAAGCAGCTGTTGTACTGTTTAAAACAATTAATATAATTAGCTTATATATATCACAAAAAGAAGTTTGGAAAAAGTATATATAAACATATGTATACTTAGATAAGAGAAAGCTACAAGACAAGGCAAAACATTCTCCATAACCTAGGGAATGAATTAATCCAAAAAAGAATTATTGAATATCAAACAAATTATTACTATATACTGAAAATTAATAAGAATTTTAAACTCAAATAGTTAACAGAATAATATTGTCTAAACAATTTAGACGATAATCAATACACTGCAATAGGTGACTTCTGAAATTTCACTCCATGTATATCTTGGGAAATAAAGTAAATTTTGTATAATTTATCTATTTTAACATATGTAGGCTTCCTGTATAAGCCAGGCAGTAAATAAGCCTGCTTTGAGGTAACTACAGAGTGAAAAAAACAAAAAAAACAGGGCCAATTGTGGTGGCCTTAAAAAATCATCCACTCCTAAGATAAATCACACAAGAAAAATTTCACAAAAGAACCTGGATTGATAAAAGCAGTGAAAATGCCTAACTTTAGCCAAAATTACTACTTTCAATTACTACTTATTTCATTCCTTGTCACATGGCCTGGCTGAACATTGCTTCCATTCTTATTTTGATACAAAAAAAAAAAAAGGTAGATTTTTGGATACCATTAAAAGACAAGTCGTTTTTCTGACATTGAATTCATATACTACCAGAAAAATGGAACAAACTAGAGATTTGCGATGGGCAATACTTTGAGTGACATGTTACTGATCACTTACTTTGTATAAAGGATTAATTTTCACAAAAAAATAGTGAGAACTTCTTCGAGGTCCTAATCCATGAGGAGATTCAGGTCAGTAGGTAAGGTAATAAATATTTCCTAATGCATTCCTCTTTCTTCAAACAATCATTATAACAATACTGGAGAACTTTACTTACTATTGCTTTTTAAAATATGATAAACCCTAATTTAATTTTATCACATGTAAGAACATATTTCTTTAAAGTGCTACATTTATTTTTTTTAAATGTTTACTATTAATGACATATAATGGAAATATAATGTCCACATATAGAATGAGACCTCAAAGAGTAATTTAACAAAATAAATGTTGTAGTACTTTTGGTTAACAAAAAATTATCACTTTCAAATGAATTTGAATTTCTGATATGATTAATAACAAATAAATATAAAATATTCTAAACCAGTAATTCAAATTATAATATTTGAAGTTATTTAATATTTCATGCAATTGTATTTTCCAAACATATACATCCATGGAAAATAGAACTCGGACACAAAGGAATAATTAACAAAACTTTAACAATTTAGGACATTACATGATCATCTCTATCAGAACAATGTAAAGAAAAAATTTAAGAAGTTGGTCGGAGGTGCAGTGAAAGAAGTTTCAAAAACAAAAAGTAGCACATTTGTTAACTGCCTACATTTTCACAACATAGGACAAAATGTAGACAATTAATAAATATCAATTTTATTTATCATGTGTGTGACTTTATTGACTGTAGTTCCCAAAAAACTACTTCTTAGATTGGATTACAGTCAACAATATCCATACTTTTTTAAAAAAATCTTTTAATTGGTCTAAATTAAAGCTTAAAAAAACAACAGAATAGCAATAGAAATCGAATAATTTACAAAAATTTCTCAGATAATTATTTTGAAGTTCAACACTTGATATTAAACAAGAAAAAAAAATTAAAATTATTAACCCTACAGAAATAACTGTTCTACAAGGAACCTAAAATTAAAATTTCATATTCTAACTTCAAATTACCAGAAACACTATCTTGAAACATTTCTAAATTCTTTAGATATTAAGGACACAAAGTAAAGGTACTACAGACATATAAAAACAATGGATTATAAGTTGTTTAAGTTCAAAGAAACAAATAAAGGGATATGATCAGAATGACAGTGAATGGTTATTTATGCAATTGTGAATCTATATTGGGGACAATATAATTTTTGGTCAACAATCAACTAAGGAGAAACACAGAGAGAAGCTTCAGACAATAAAACATGCAACAATCAGGAATTTTAATTAATAACTAATTTCTTACAGATGTGACTTTAATTTGAGCTGAAGAACGTTTTCTTCCACTCCACTTTGGCCATGAAATACAGAAAGAGATACAAATTAAGAAATGATTAGATTTAAAAAAAAGAACTAAAAGTTTCCAAAAAAAAAGGGGGGGGGAGATAAAACGAAAGGGCAAATAAAAAATTATGATACCTGAAACAATAAATTAAATAAAAAGCAAAATTTAAGCTAAGAAACAGTAGACAAGGTAGGACTATTTCAATTATAAAAATATATTTATGTTGAGTTGCCATCAAAATTTATAATTGTAGTAACTCAAATCTCTCCAATTTTCAATTATTTTTAAATGATTACTGGTATAAGTAATATTTTTTTGGTGGACCAAATTGCAGCTACTAAAATTTTTGTAACTTGGAAAAGTTATGGATAATAAAAGTTTAAAAATAATTATTCTGAAAAGAGAATGTACTAATTTTAATTATTTATTTTAAAATTATCGAGACTCGGAGCTAATATATAATGAAGATTTGTCTGAATCTAAAGATATTGAAAAGTATTATTTAATTATTTGAGTGAATTTAGAAAGAATTACAAGAAAGAAAATCTGAAATAACTAAAACCATCAGACAAATATGACAAAACTAAATATTAAAAAAAAATAATATTAGAAATAAAATAATCAAATAGGCTAAATTAAAAAATAAAATTCTTGATAAAGGAGGAGACTTAAAATGAAATAAGGATTATATGACCCAATAAATTAATTGAAGTAGTAATGTCTAAGTAACTCAAACTGGTATGTCAAGTTCTTGGGGTGGATAAAGAACAAATCACAACAATGCTTGTCAAAGTTAAAACAAAAGGGCGATGGATATGCCAAGAAATAAGAGAAAGGATTGCACCAAGTCTGATTTAAATTTAGATTAGAATTAGGTTTTTGGTGGTATGAACATTGAACCTTCTAGTTCATTGAGCCCTATTATGATTGTAATTATAATTATTGAAAAGTGTTAATTATAATTTTTTTTTTTTAATTTAAAAGCAATGTTTTCTGGAAAAATATATCATAATCACATTACATATCAGTGGAGGATGAGTCATGAAAAAGTACAATTTATTCCATTGAGGAAGTAATTCAAATATGATTCCTTGCTCATATATAAATACATATACATTCATGTTATAAAACATAAAATAATATTTTCACAATAAGGCAAATCCGATAGCCAATAACTTTCTTGTTTTTAAATCCCACAAAATTTAATATTGGAAATTCAATGAAATACATCACCAATTTATCACTTTTAAACACTTTGTGCATTTATATGGCCCCCCCAAATTAATGTATTCAGTTAAGACATTTGTTAAATTGATCTAATGTGAGAAAAGTTCCTTCTAATCTCTTAACTTTTACTATCAGCCCCCTTTAAGTCCCGACATTTCTATAAATTTAATTCGGAACCAAATAATAATATGATGAAAAACAAAACATAAGAAAGATATTCAGCAGCTTCATTGATTTTAAAATTATATTTAAATCCTCAAGTATTAATGCACCTTCTATTTTCAAAACAAAAATAAGGGAAACTGTTCTGAATGATGCTGATCTGTTGTGCACTTCTATTTTTTTTTAATGTTTTAATCAATTATTTAAAGTTTTGTTTAAGCAATTGAACAGTTTTTAAATTGTTCAATATAATCAATAAGAGATATAAGTAAATTGTTTAAAATAAGAATAATTCAAACTGCTTCTTCACAAGAGAAGCTTTGCATTTATGACTGAGGTTAAAATATTTTATGTGCTCAGAATTGTAAATTTCTACTCTTGTATTACCTTTTAGATATCAAGGAACAATTTTGGTTCTGTTTCTGCCAGTAGTGAACTCTATGTGATGAGTAAACCATCAACTACCGTTTTTCATGAAAGTTTCAGAGATCGTGCGGGTTGATGTCTAGACGGTTCCATATAAATATAATCAAATTCCACCTCACACTTTTGCTAACAAACATGTAAATGTATTTTCTTAGATATGTCTAAATTTCAGAAATGTCCCGTTCGATTTATCCCAAAGCTAGGAGAAAATTGGATGTTGGTGAAAAATAATACCATATCAATCTTACTGAATTCCATCCACCACATTCTCTTACATAAGCACAAACATATTTTTCATGAAACACCTATATCTCGAAAACCACACGTATGATTTGGCCCAAATTTGAAGAGAAGTAAAGGATTGATAAACAAATGATCAGGTAACAATGTTATAAAATTCCATCCATTACATTAAAAAAAAAACATTAGCTTTTGGATCTGCAAACATATGGTTTTTAACATGCTTATAATATGCCTAGTTAACAGTTAGTTTGATCTGACACAAAGTTAGAGATATTAAAAGAATATTGCAAAATAAGATGAAACACATGAAAATGTTCATTACCCTTCCCATAATAGCGTTCAGTAACATTTCTAAAGTTTCCCACGTCGGATTTTGGTGGGGAGAGGAGAAGAATGATTGAAAACCGACGTTTATTTAAAATATCCAAGAAAAATATGAGGTTTCTTCCAAATATTGTTCAGTACAATACTAAAGTACTATACTATCTTTATAAAAATGACCTTGAAAATGTTTTTTATTGAGTCAATTGGTATGTATATATTTAAGTTATATTTTATAAAATTTTACTAAAAGCAAAACGTGATCAAAACCATTAAATAACAACTAAAACTAAAAAAAAATCTCATTTTTTTTTTAATTGCTATACATTTCCGTTGCTGGACACCTTATATTTTATTAAAATAATCACCAGAAGAACAGTTAATAATAATAGTAATTTTAAAATTAAAAATAGGTCAATTAAATGAACTACGATAGATATACAACATTTTACAAATTATAATATTAATAAAATAAAAACTAGTTAAAAATTTGATCTAACAATAATTGAACTAACCTGGCACTCGCCAACCTAGAATGCTCTTTACTCTTCATAGCAATGGAGGCATTGGTATGTCGGCACATCATATAAATTGCCATACTTAAAAAGACTAGATTAGCCTAGAAAAAGTAAAAAATACATTATTAGCTAAAAAAGGTAAAAATATTATCACAAAATTAAATTGAAAAATCATTATAATAGTCCAGCTCATATTTTTAAAAAAAGAAAGGTCAATTTTACTCACCAATCTAATTGAAATAGATAGCAGAAATTGAAAACTGTACGTTAAGAAACTATAGGAAAGTAATAGATGAAATTGTAATATTTCATGATAACAGATAAATCACAATTTTGTTTTAATAAATAATTAATCTTCTAAATAAACTGGATATGTTTAAACTTCAAAATTATTTTTAAAAAAAATAATTTGTTTTCAATTATTGTTGTATAAAAAGTTACAAGTATTACACAATTTCATGATTTTATTATTTAACCATGGACTGGTAGGTTATATAAATTTTAAGTAGTCTGTAGATGTTGGCTAAAGATCCCTCCACTCCAGGAGTAAATGATAGACTTTTCTTTCACCTATTCTATCATAGTTAATTATAAAGATGTTACATTTATATGATTATTTATTTAATTTACTTTATTTAGTTAAACATGTACCTCTTAATAAAATATATACTGTATTTACATTTTTAGGGTGTAATAAAAACCCAATTCCTTAATCAGGATTGAAATTTTGAATGTAGAGTTTGTTTTTGGAAAATTTACAAAGAAAGGTTATTTTTCAAAAAAATTACAAACATCACCCACCCCATACAAACATCAACATGGTATTATTTTCAAGAAATTCTTATTTATTACCTTTATTTAATAACTAAAACTACTTATTATTAGATATTGTTTAAATCATTATTTGATTTGGTCCTGTGAAATTGATATAATTAGTAATAACAATGATAAATATTTTGTTTGTAAAGTGTTATCATGTTTTATTAACTTTATTATTTTTTTTATATAAACCCAACCGTTAATTTTGTTTACAACTAATAAATGAACAGTTATATGACACTGCCAAATTTAATTCTCACTTGACATAGTTTAGGATGTGAAATAATTCAAATTAAGTGTGCTGTTCAATATATGGCTGGTGAATAGTGATATTATAAGAATCTTAGCAATGTGTGGAGGGTCAATTCTAAATTATGTGAAAGCACTTTTTGAGCCACAATGTACTGCAGAAAGCTCTAATTCTTAATAAATTGCTTAAGGTTTGATGAGAAAAGCACATGAGAAGAAAAGAAAAAAAATGACAGGCTAGCTGCTATGAGGTATATTTGGGATGACTTATTTCAAATTCTAGGTAAAGTTATAAACTAGGCAGTTATAGCACTATTGATGAACAACAAGCTGAGTATTGGGGGCACTATCCATTAAAAAAATTTACCACATCAATAAAAGGAATGAACCAAAATGTGAACATGGATAATTGCTTCAAAAGCATTTCATTAATGTGTACTGTTTAGAGAGAAACAACAGTCTTACTGTTATTATTAATAAATTAGTTGAATTAAAATATAAAAAAAAAAAACAACAGTAAAATTAACTCAAGTTTATTTTAATTTTTCCAGCATATGACAGCTGTTTCCTTTAAGTCATCAAGTAAAAAACTTGATTGTATTAATTTCACCATGATAACTCCACATTAAATAATTCCTCAAAAAATCTGAAACTATCAAATCATATAATGAAACCAAATATATTATGAATGAATTGAACAAATGTGCCACACAAAATGGATACCAGCAGAAAAACTCCAAGATGAATACTATTTTTTCAACAGTTACTTTGTTAGTATGCATAATCTTTATCTATCAGGAAACAACCTCTACCATGTAGCAATATATGTTTAAGCATTTAAGTGAGTGAAGATAGAAAGAAGAAACAATTGCTTATAACAAACAATAGCTGGTAACTATTAGTTATAAAAAAATCTGCTTTAGGAAAAGGTTCCTCAAGATAACAAAGAAGAGCAAACAAAAGGGGCAAGAAAATATTACTCCTAATGTAGCAATTGAAAGAAATTACAAACTACAACATATTACAAAAAAAAAAAATACATTATGCCAACCAATACACAATGAGCATCAGGATGTCTATTGACATGTGGCTTTCAAATAATTTTAAGTTTGTTTTTTTAATTTTTACAAGTAAAAAATTACTTAATATATCCTTGTGTACTTTTATTGTATTTAGGACAAATGTTCAATGTTTACAATGAGCATGTAAATAATATTTTGATTTATTTTTCAATCTTTTTTTTATTATTTTGCATTAATATATTTTTATCATATGAAGGAAAAGATTTGTTCCTTTTGTAATATATTACTATCCCTCTTTTATATTTTTTAAAGTTTTAACACTATGAAAAAAGATGAATGATAATACATAAAAATTATATAACGCTAACAAAATGAAATGAGAAAATGAATCCTACTAGAGTCCAAGGTTAAGTTATAAGATTAAATGAATTATAAAATATGTAATTATCTTTTCGGACCCATTTGTGGGAAAAATATTTTTGTATGTGTAGTAAAAAAAAAAGTTGAATAAATTATATTCTTAATTGAAGAATCGGCATACTATAATGTTACATGAAATAAACAATACTTAAAAAAAAATAAAGGAATTGTTTATAGAAACATATATAGTCTATAACAAGATACTTCTGAAAGTCAAGTCAATGAATTCAAAATAATGAAGCTTAGGAAAATTTAGGTAATTATTAATATGATATAATATTATGTGAAAATAAAAAGTTATATACTTACAAGTATCACAGTTATCACAGGGCCAACAAAGCTAAATATGAAGAAGTTGTCCGCACGGAGCCAGCAGTATCGATCAGTGCCATAGCTAAAAGGGTCAATAAGACACGAAACAGAGACAATAATAAATGGAGTTCCGTAAGCAAAGGAGTAGTACCATCTAATTCTTGATTTTTCTGCTTCAAACACTTCTATTAACATCACATACAATTGAAAACCTAAAATTTAAAAAGGAAAATTAGAAAAAGAATTAATTTAATTTTAGAGAATCTTTACAAAACATAAACAGTTACTGAGTGATATATGATGAATAAATGGGAGAATATATATTTTTAAAAAAGGAGTTTAACTTTTAATAATGCCAAGATGCTTTGTTTTCTTTTACATTTAAAATTTTTAAAAATAATATTTTGAACTCAAGTAATAGGAGAATTCTGAGCCTAATGTTACATGGGATAAACGCGTGTTATAACTTAAATTTCTTAGAAGTTATGGAAGCTGTCACAGCAAAAATATAGCATGAAATTGGTTTATTTCTAGAACATATTTCCTCTCAAAGGAGAGGTCTGTATTACAAAAACATTTCATCTGTATTTAACAAGAAGATAAAATATACAATTTTAATTAGCTGATATAAAGAAAGAATAGGAAATTTGTCTGGGACATTCAGTCCCTAAGAATAATTATAATGAACAATTAAGTGACGTTTGTCTGGCATTAGAAGCTAATAAAGAATTAATTAAATTAAATTGTTATCAAAACTTAAAAATAAAATGAAAGAAAGGCACGAGTTAACATTTGAACTATAGATGAATGAATATATGAGTGTGTTCACATTTAGACAATTTAGATAATATATAGGTATCTGTAAGATAAGAGGAAAATGAGGATGACATCTCTAAAATACAAAAATATTATCTTACATGTATTCGAAAGATTGATTGCTGAGGAGATGAAAAAATAAATGGTGTTTAAATGAGGTTAAGGATGAGGATTTGCAAGTTAACAATGTAGCACATATGACAGAGTATTTTTTTTATAGGAAACAGTTCTATGAGAAGGAATAAAAGGTTTTTGGTTGTAAAGATTCAGTAGGGAAATACCTAGGAAATATTACTGATGGAAAACTGGATAGAGCCACTTTAGCTCGGCATACCAACTCGAGGAGTTTGAGTGCCTGGGAACTCTAAAGATGAATTTAATGAAATGATTCATTAGTCTCTTCAATCTGATCGCAAGCTCACCAGACAGTCCACCGTATACAAGGCAGCCATAATGAATGTGAAAAAAAATGAGAGAGAAAACTAGGACCTAACGAGTTTTTAGAAGTATAGAATCATGAAAGCTCAGGAACTGTTTTAGAGTAACAATAGATTCAATTGATTGATAGGAGGAAACAATTGAAATCATTTGAGTCAAGACCTGGCTGTCAAATAGCTGCAGTTCTTTTGAGCCAACCCCCATAGTTAGAAGAAAATTTGTACATTAACCAATTTTCTAGCAGTACATGGGACTGAACAAGTCCTATGTAGCAAGAAGACAAAATATTAGAATGCAGATATTTACTGCTCTGTTGAAAAAGTCAGAAAAACTTACATGACAAGTATAACAGATAAGAGACACAAAATGTACAACTTTGTAAGATTATTAAAATTTAATTTCACCTGAGCAGATACAATTAAACAAAATATTTTTACAGATTCTTACCTTCAAGGAACATCCATGCAAATGCACAAAGAAAAAAGAAATGCAATAATCCTGCAACAATTCCACAAACAATTGCTTGATCTGTCTGACCTATTCCAGCTAAGAAAAGTACTTCTGCTACAAGCAAACATATGCAGAGATTTTTATGAATTGTTGTCCGATCAGACTGTGAAATAGAAATATCATACATTAGTAAAATATTCATGAAATAATAATTAATCAACAATGAGCTATAACTTATAATTAGTAATATTAAAAATAAAGAAATAATCGACCTTACATAACCACAGTTGAAATTATGAGGACTCTATTCTCTTTATTATATTCTGGAATTTTATTTACAATGATATAAATTCTATAAATATGTTACATATACTTTTTTTTTTTTTTGTCTTTTTTAACATTAAAATAAAAGACTAGCATTAGTGAACAAATAAAATAAGGGTAATATAAAAAAAAAGTCCATAAGCTTACATATTTTCACTTGTAAGCATAAAAATAACTTTGAGATTACAGTAAAATAAGGCTGACAACACTAAAATATGATTATTTTTATAATTAGATTTTATCACACCCATAGTAAAGGATTTTTCAAAAGACACATAGTTCTATGAGAAGGAATAATATATATATATATGTATATATATATATATATATATATATATATATATATATATATATATAAACAGCACACTACAAGTTTAATACAGGTATATGCATAGCTGTAGTTAGTTTGACAACACTTTCCATTGAATTTTAGTTATGTAGCCAACAGAATTACACTTAAACTTTGGAATAATGTTCCTTAACTTTATGGTAATAATCAGTCCTAACAACATATAATTGATTGATTGTAAATTGAAAAAATAAACAAATACATAAAATTAATATAAGTAGAAAAGCCAATGAAAGCTTTTTAACATACCTTTAAACCACGGAATAATTGAAAAGTTATAATTGCCAAAACTAGACAGATCACTGACACAATACAACCAATGTATGTTATTATCTGTAAAGCCATTTCGTGTGCAGGAGGTAAATAAGTTGCTTGAACATCCATTAAAATAGCAAAATTAGTAAGGTGGTCACATACACAAATAGTATGTGTTAAATTTGTGAAATCAACCCTACAACCTTCTTCTGACCAAGAGCTGAAAAACAAACATAAATATCAGAATGACCAGAGTTACCAATGAAAATTAGAATAAGAAGTAATATATAAATAAATAAAAGGCAAGGTAAAACATCAAAAAGGAACTTAAATTAATTGAAATGGTTATTATCATATAAAGTAAACCTAATCTGGAGAAAGAAAGATTATATATGATTTTATTTCTTTAAAATTACTTAAGTAAAAATGTATAAATTAAAGTGATGAAAGTAAGACAAAATAATTCTTATTCACCATTACTTATTAAAATGAAACAGAAATTAAATCTGAATGAATGTCCCACAATTATAGGAAGAACAGGTAACAGGCTCTCACTTATCACCTTAACTAACCTAGCTTTTCAAAAGTAACTTTTTATGGACTAAAACAAGGTTGGTCCAATGGCTTAAGCCTTATGTTTCATAAAGGCATTTTCAGTTCAAAAAGAGAATATTTTTGGGAACAACTCAAGAGTTTTTCAAACCAATCTCAGGATATTTCTTGTTGTACACATGTAATAGAAAAAAAATTATACCTACAACAGGGGTGCCCAACCAAAGGTTAACACAATATGGTCATCAAATATAATATAAAGAGGAAATACCATAATTAGTTGAAAACTTGAATTACATGCCGATCTAGAGGGGGGAAGGGGAGCTTTCGGGCTGAAGCCCCTTCCATAAAATATATATTAAAAACTCATCTCTAAAAGTATTATTGTTCATTTATTTACATTTAGTAGCACTTCAAGAACTACGGAAACACCATTTCAAATAGGTAGTTAGAATCTTTCTTCTTCTTTTAAAGTAATAATTGTTATATCTATAAAAAAAAACTTTCAGACTGAAGCCCTTTTTAAAAATAAATCCTGGATCCACTAGTGACTCGAATCGTACTATATATTTTATGAAAAGCTAAGAAAATAATTTAAATATAAATAAAATTTAAGATTTCCTTAAGTGGGAATGGCAAAATATGTTCTTGAATTACTATAAAATTGTTTGTTAAGAAAATGTACTTAGAAGTATTTAAAGTAATTGAAGAGAAAGAGGGTTGGGGTGATCAGTCAAAATAAAAAACAGTAAAAATAAATAATTATATGTATTTTTATATTTGCCGATGTTTCTTTCCATGCTTGTCGGTTTGAACTGCCCTGATTCATCAGGCCTGAACTTTGGGCCGAAACATTTATTTTTACTATTTTTTATTTTGACTGATCACCCCAACCATCCTTCTCTTCAATTATTCACTACAGTCAACCATCAACCCACAATTAAGTAATTGAAAGTAATGTAATATTTCAAAAGAAAACAAATATACAATAACATTTAAGATTACCACCCTCAACAGCAATCCTTTAAATTAATGTTATTTTTTAATAGAAATATAAAATGATCATATGAATTGAATGCATGGTGTTAGTAAAATAAATATACTGACCTCATTGTGTAATCCCAAAATACACAAGTGGGATTGGTTACATTTTCCGTACGAATATGCCTGAGGCATATTGTCACCGGATGAGATAACTGAATATGCCTTCCTTTGCCAAGTGATGCAGAAATCACTTTACTATTGACTATCCTTGAAACATTAGCATGTGACAGGGGCTGTAAAATATCTTCCAAATGATCAAAAGCAATGTAGACTAATCTTAAGAAGTTTCCTTCGCTGTTATCCAAAAGAGCCTTCTTTTCAAGTCTCAGCCAATTATCCCCACTGTTTGATTCTCCAGCCTCACCATATTCATTTGTAATAGAACTACTACTACTAAATTCTTCAGTATCAACATTAGCAGTTTTAACAACACGTATTTCTAGAACTGGAATGAAAAAAATATCAAACATTAAAAAACTGATTTTAAATCAAAGATTAAAAACTACAAAAGTAAATTTAAAATTATTTATTTTTTAAATGCATAGATATGTTATTGAAAATAGATTAATAAAAAATTATAACTACAGTATTTATTAAGAAATTTAAATTAATAATATTAGCATACATATATTTTTCTCTCTATGGGGTACTGTTTTTTCTCTGACGACAGTGTCAGCAAGAAGAAAGGAGTTTTCTTCAATTCCTACAAGAAGAGAAGTTGCCACACGCATCTGTTCTTTATGAGTTAAATCACGCCATGAAGGTAGCTTAGCTGGATCTAATAAGTTGCTACCAGTCCGTACAACTCCATGCAATAGTTCAGTAACAATGGCTTCTCTTTGTCGTGCATCAGGAAATGTTTGAATATCGACAGACATTTTGTTTGCCATTTTCTTTATGATTTGAGTAGTAGTCATCATGTCACCACCATAAAGTGTTTTACTATCTGTAACCTGAACAGGACAAAAGCAAATAAAGAATATTAAAACTGGTATCCATACCATAAAATGTAATCTACAAACATATTTAGCTTATTTACATTATAGTTATTACAATGGTAAAGAATCAACACCAATATGTCAATGTCGATTTCAGTCGATCAGTTTTCAATAAAATATATCATTATGCAAAATATTTTGTGAAAGGGAATTAAAGATACTGATTTGGTAGGTTACGATAAGGATTTAGATATGTTTATGTAAGTATCCCAAAAATTTTTTTTTTCTACTTTAACATCACCAGTTTTATCAACATTCATTAAAGTTATTGCAATCTTGATAATGCTTAGACATCACTTAAATCGATTATTATTTCCAATCCATTTCAGCTTAATAAATCATCACTGTTAATTTAAAATTATGTTGCCTCTTTCATTTGTATTTTATCTTTTAAGTGGATCAATTATATTTTTATCACAAGAACCTTTGCTTCAATTCAAACGTTCAATAGAAAATGACAGGTTTGAGCTCCATTTAAAAATAAAAATTGGCCAAAATAATTTGATGGTCTACAATTATAATAACTCTCTGAATCCAAGGTTTATGTAAAATTTCAGAGGATCTTTTCTATTAGAAAGCATATAAAATACAGCATATCATCTGTAGTGTATAAAGTACAATTAAACAGAAAGCACTTACATTACTGACAGTGATATAATTAGTTAACTTACTTTTTTCAATAATAAAAAATAAACACAACTTAGGCAACTTGAAGGTATACTCATTTTTAATTATATATAAATTATGGACCATGACAAATTTGAGGGATACAAACATATTTTAGAAAAAGGTATATTAACACGAACATTACACAGTTAATATCTTTACTTCACAATATTATATGCATGGAAAAGTAATGGAAAGAAAGTTTTGGATTTATGTATGGTAATTCATGATTTTTTTTTTTCAATTCAAACTTCACTAACTTATTATATATACTTGATTATTATAGGTTATTATATCAAGAACTGGACAATAATATTAAGTTTGCTATACATACAGCGATAAATTAAAATTAATAATTAATTCAACTTAAGTAAGAGAAGGTACTATACCTCTGATAAATCATTAACAATACTGATTATTGCATCTCCTTCTGCAATTCTAGTATCAAGACTTGTAAGCCAAAGAGAGCGACATTCACTGAGATCAGGAGTAGGAGAAGCTCTACGAGGCGGTGGACCAGGAAGACAGCGCCATCTTGCTAACCCTGAAGCTCCACCAGGACAAGGTTGAACACTGAACTCACTAACTTTAGTCCAGTTCCAGGTGAGCCCACGGGCTACTGCAGGTGGACACATTTCAGAATCTTCTATTACACTTCCTCCTGCAAAAAAAGTATACAATTTGTACTATTTGCATTACTTTTGCCTATACTAAATAAACAAGATTTCATTAAGGTAACAATACCATTAATTGACGGGCTATAAGTATTTGACATCCTTACAACTAAATTTGTCTAAAGGCCTCCTAGAACCAGAGATGGTCAAATGCTACTCTGAGTAGTGAGTACCAAGTATTTTACTCAAATACTGACCTTTTTTGAGTACCAAATAATTTAATTACTATCTCAGTTGATGTCAAACGATTAACTGAAGTTGTGATTGAATTCTTAATAGTGAATCAATTTGAGTAAAATACTTGGTACACGGTACTCAAAGTAGTATTTGCCCATCTCTGCCTAGAATATACTGGAATATGCTTTGCAGATACCCGAGAATCTTAACACGTAAGTTAAATACTTAAAGATGTTCTAAGTTGCTAATGGATAAATTTAGTTCCAAGGGTGCCAAATATTGTTAAACTGTCAATTACAAGTATTGCTACCCTAATTTATCTACAAAGGTAAAACATTACCTTTTGTATTATTAAATTATGGCTCAAAGTTAAATATATTCTTAACTATACTTTTAGATTGATCTGCATTCAATTAAATTCTAAATTGAAAATGAACATTTTTACATTTGTTTCAGTTTTATAACTTAAGATTTAGTCTTCATTAATAGTTATTAATTAAAAACTGAATATTTGCATTGAAAATAATGTAAATGCTCAAAATTATATTTTACGTAAATTTAAATCTAAATATTAAACTTTTTAATTATAAGTAATAAGTAAAAACCAAAACATAAAATAAACTAAGGATATTTATTACATTGAAAAAGGACTTTGACTTTTTTTTTTTTATTGTTTTGTACTAATTTTTTTTATTTATGAATTTTTACACTGGTAGTTTCCAAATCTTAAAAATATTTGATGATTTCGAGTTTAAGTGTAACTAATCCATAATTTAAAAACAAAACACATTACTAACCAGTCCCAGTATAAGGGTAAGATGTAGAAGTTGGAGATGGAAGTATTTGCACAGTTGTAGAAGAATGAGTTGTGACACTGTCTATGCCATCCTCGGGAAATGTTCTTATTGTGGTAGTTGTAGTAGTTGTGGTGGTAGTGGTTGTAGTTGTAGTTGCAACTGTTGTTGCTTTGCTGGTGGTTGATGTAGTGATTTGAGGGGCAGGAAGAGTAGGAACTGGAGGCCTTATTGTTGCTGCTTTTGCAGTACTCCAGACACTTGGTTGCGATGTCATTAGCCATGGAGGGCTTGGCCTGCTCGTTGTAGTTGTCAATGCAGCTAAAAAATAACAGAATAAATTGCTGAGTAAATAAAAATGCATACTACCTAAATGTAATGTAAAAGGTTTAAAAAAATGAATTTGAGTTTATTATCAACAAGCAAATTTCATGAAGTCTACTATAATGGGTAAGAACCTATAGGAAAACAACTGCTCAATAACTTATTATTTAGGTTCTGTAAAAATTAATGACTGAAATATGTCTTCTTTTTAAAAGGTTTATGAATTTTTTACTTTAATAACAAAATACAAGAAATATTACTCACCTTTCTTAAAATACAGTGTATTTGTCTCATTAAAGGCATTTTAACACATTAAAGGCGGGGGATCTTGACGAAAGTATGCTAGGTAACGCGGTAATTACTACGACTTCCTCCTTTAAGCAGTAGACGAGGTAAATTATAGTACTATGACTCCCGCCTTTAATGTGTTAAGATAAAATAATGTTATTAAAAATTTAAATTTATTAATAATATGTTTCCTTCCTAATTTATTTTCTTTTAAAATATAGAAATGATTCAGATGATTTACCACAAATAATTCAGAAGCTATAAAATATGTGGAGAAAAAAGATACTAAAAACTGCTGAACTACACTGTTCTTATAAAAAGCATAAATTGAAATGAATAGAGATGATATGAAGCAGACCAAAGTTATCATCAGTATATAAATAAATCCAGCAAGATGAAGTACAGGTGTGATATAAAGCTTAATTCTTTAATCTCTTGAATTATGAGTTGAAAAAGATCACTTAGTATAGGTAAGTTACAATCAGGCACTACTGGAAGTATAAGATAGAGCTCCATATCATTTTTATTGGTTATGAAACAGGACTCAATGTATAGTATTGTAAGATCAGTATTCATCCAGGTTATCCAAGAGTTCCAATTCCCTCACAAACTAATAAGATTGTTGGAGATTACCTTAAACAATAATGATGGTAGGGTCCTTGTAGGCAGATGCCTGAACTAAGAATTCTTTATCACAACAGGAGTGAGACAAGGCAATACATTGTCACCTACACTTTTTAACCTTGCCCTACATAAGGTGGTCAAGAATTCAAATATTACTAGAAATATCCTCTAAAAATTAGGAAATATTCTCCATTCCTTTAATTAGGTATGATATTTACCTTTTGGTAAAGAATTTGAGAGAACTCGGAACTGAATAAATTTTCAGCATATTAAATAGTAAAAGCATAAAAATGGATGCATAGACCGATTGATCAAAACAAGACAAAATATAAGAGTACCATACCAAGCCAGGCTAATGTTCCAATAACTTCTGATGGATATAATCTTGAGAGTCTGGGCAGCTATATTTACCTAGAGTTTGAACTAAATAATGAAAAGAAGACAAATGGAGTAAACAGACAAATTGGAAATTAAATAGCTGCTCATTGTGTTTACTAGACCAACAAGGTCTTCATCTGCACATGCCACTAAAGGAAAGTTGTATAAAATGATTACAAGCAAAATTAGAGTTTTTAGAGACAGGCAATGGATTTAGAACAAAGAATAATGAAAGAAAGTCTTAAGGGAAATGTCAATGCCCACCTCAGACTAAGTAATACTGTACAAGGAAATATTTGTAACCATTTAAAAATAAAAACATCCACTTTAAATAAACGCATGGAGAAGAACTTGACTGCTTATAATTTACTAACATGCTCTACACAAATAACAATTATACTGAGATTATCATATAAATAAAGTTCTACTTACGAGGTACACATTGGTAATGAGCTTCTAAATACTTCAAAGTTCCTGCACATGGTTCACCAAACAATGAAGTGCTAGCTAAAATGCTACAATTTTGTTGTTGACTGCACCTATAAGAAATAAAACAGTTAAATGATTAGACTAAAATATACTTTGAACAAAAGAAATCAAAGCAATAAATGAAATTTACCTTGAATGTAGAACGCGCAGTGATTTTGGTGACATACAATTAACACTCCAATCTGTATTTCCATGGTCATTACAAATTGTAATGGAAAAACGTCCGTAATTAGCTCTAATTAGGTTAATAAGTTCTCCCTCCTTACATTCAATGCGCAAAGTCTTACCCTCACAGGCATATGCCGTATCATAACGAGGTTGTTCTAAAAACAAAAAAATAAATAAAATTTGTTAAAGATTTCATATATAATGCAAGACAATGCTTAAGTTTAACAGCTATCTAAGCAAATAAAAGTACGTTTAACTTTTACACTGTATCTAAAAATACGAAGAAACTTGAGTTATATATAAACAATTTTATATAAGAAGTCAAAATTTTTACTATCATTAAGCAAATATGACTAACATAGGATATCTTAAAAAGAATATAATTAAATTAAACAAGTACTAATTGAATTACAAAGATACATATAAAAAAATTGAAATAAACAGCAATTACCTTGATTTTTTGCAAGTGTCTTATTGGTTGAAAGGCATAGAAGGAATAATATCAGTTGGCTACGTAACATAGCTCCTCTTCCTAAAATAAAGATTGAATAAAATTGAATTATTTAAGCATTTTTCATGGTGATACATATATTTTTTAAGAAGTGATGAAAAAAAGTATAAAATATAAGACAATAAGGTGGAAAATTTATATTATGGAAGAATAAAAAGTTATTGAAATTAGAATTGATTGGGTATCCCTTAATCAATTTCTGAGGAAGGTGATGGTTCAGGGTAATGGTTCTAAAAAGACTAAAATAGAGAAAAAAGTATTTTATTTCAAGCCAACGTTTCGACCCAACTCTGCAGGTCTTCTTAAGGGCCAGAAAGAACAAGATACAAAAGGATTCAGAAAAATGTGGAAGTAACTCATATGTGGAAGTTACATATAAGTAAGTTATATGTGGAGGTTGCATATAAATAACCTTAATAAATTTCATGAAGCCTAGAAATCAGCAAAACAAAAAGTGAATACATAGCATTCAATAATAATGGAAACTCCTCATTAAATGTTGTTGAATGGGATTTGGCCCCAACTGATCAATTTAGGCAAGTGGCTTGTGAAGGGGAGCAACAGCAAGAAAGATATTGATGAAAAGGTTATCAGAGGAAGAAAGGTCATAAGCACTTTAAATTCTGTTTTATGGAATAAAGAAGTCATGCTCCAAACGAAAAAGACTATACCATTAATTTGTTGTAAACACTGTATTATATGCCTCAGAAACCTGGCCAATTTCAACTGACTCAGCAAGGAAATGGTTATCAATGGAGATAGATTTTTGGAGACTTAGCTGTAGAATATCAAGATTACATGTTCCAAATAATGCCATTAGGGATTAAGTGAACCCTTCAACATTCTGTACTCCATAGAGACAAAAAAGCTTCGTTGGTTTGGGCATGTAATGAGAATGACGGACGACCAATGGCCTGAAAGAATACCTCAGCAGGTACATTGGAAAGGAGGAAGAGAGGTCGCCTAGAAAAGAGATGGTTGGAAGGTTAAAATGACGCTATAGCAGCAATAGGAGGAATGCTTATGATAAAAAGAAATGGCTACAGGGATTAGGTTATGACATATGACCTTAAAGTGTTGTAAATAAAGTCATTTATATATAATATAAATAAATATAAATTTTATGCTTATCAAATAAATCATATTGGATTTTAACAAATAAATACATTCAATTAAGCAGGTTAGGATTTATTTTTGTGAATGTAAAGCCTCAGTTATTATTGAAAGACAAATCAATATAAGATAAATTAAAGTCATTAGCTATTTATAATGATATGATATGGAGATGGTTAAACATGGATTAAATTTCACAAGAAATTAGTCAAAAATATAGTAATAGTAGTAAAATATAGTAATTAGTCAAAAAATATAGTATTTTTTTTTTTACCGCACATCCGACTAATTTCTTGTGACATTGGCTATTTAATTTGAATCTAATTTACTAAATACAATTATCAGAAATTAAGAAACATTAGATCAGTTGAAAAAATCATTTGATTTGATCTCGTGGAAATATTTTACAATATATATGGCTTTCGATTTCCCCAGAATGTCTTAATAAATCACTCATTAGTTGTCTTTTATTTTGGAAATCATCATTTTTTATTTAAATAGATTTCTATTGATAAAGAAGAACTTTTTACTATCATTATTTATTTCTGAATTCCACCAGACATTAAAGTATTGAATCATTATTTCAATTAAGTACATTTCAATATACAATAAATGTAAAAATCTTTTTAATTATTTATGGTTCGAAATTTACCATACATAATATACTTTTAACATAAACCGAAGAAACTCAATTCACTCATATAATTTAAAAAAAAAAAAAGTAATAAGAATCCATCACACTTTTTAACTGGCCTGAATTAATGATATTGTAAGTCTCCATCACTAAGTGGTTCCTTCAAAAGCCATATGTCACACTTTATAGTCACATATTAAATAAGTTTTAGTAGTAAAGCCCGAAGTTTTGAACAACCATAAATCATTATACTCGAGGCCAGTTTTCTGAAGAAGAGATTTCTAGCGGAAATGGTCGATTGATTTACAGGAAAAAGGTTATAAGAATACCAAAAAGAAGCATATGTTAATTGGTTCAATATGTCAGAATATGAAAATAACAATAAAAAAATTTAGATATCAAGACTCTTAAAATACAATTTCAGAGTTATTAAATATACATTAAAAATGAGAAATTAATAGCACAAAATATGTGTTAATTATAAAATAGTAATAAATATCATTATTGATGCTTACAATGAGTCAAATGAAGAGTTGAGATCCACTAAACATAACGTTGCTGAAGTACTTGCAACACTTGGTTCTAAACAAAAAAAAAGAAAAGAAAATTAGTTAATCGTACAAGAAATAATTTAAAAAAATTTAATATTTAAAAAAATAATGTATACAATATACAACAGAAAAGAGGTTGTAATACTTTCCGATATGAAATATTAATTATTTTAAGCAAATGATGATGCTATTATTAACAGCTTATTATTAAGAACACCCTGATGCACGTATGAAGTTATAAATAATATTTCATCATAAAAAATGCAATACAACATTTCTATTTTATATATTACAGCAAAAATTGGATTATTATCATTTCTACTTTGGAACTTGCACCACTGATTTGTATGTTATAACCGGTGGAAAATTCGGATAGCTTTAATTTTCTCATAAAAAAATAAAATCATTAAAATAGGATACAAAAATGGAAAAAATTGAAGAGATAATGCTATTGAAGATTTGGTAGGATTATTCATCTAGAGGGGAATGATGTGGACTTTCATTTGATTGGAGATGAATCATTCCATTTAAGCTACCCCTCCCCGACTCAATTTTTTTTTTTGCCCGGTTTGATACACAGAATGCCAATTTTATCACCTGTTGGAAGTGTATGCTGAACCAGAATTAACTGTTCTACATCGTGAGCAGTATTTATTTTTCCCTATTTGAAAAGTTACATTTTATCACATTGAAAGTTTAGCACCAAGTTTCTACTTAATTTCAAAAAAACTATCTTTGACAAAAAATAAATAAATAGAATACAAGGTGATGGCCCAATTATATTTGGAATACATATTTATAATTGTAAATATTTATCTCTGTAATTTTTTTTTCTTCATAAAAATGGTCATAAAATAAAAGAAATAAAGCATGAAAAAAACTTTTTTGAATCAATTATTGACTAAGGTAAAAGTATATAAAGAAAATTTAAAATAAATATTCCATTCCTTAAGTAGATTTATCATTAAAAAAATATCATTAATACACCATAAACGCCTTAAAATTATTTTTTAACATTTTCTTTCATCTTATATATTGGTTAGTTTTTGCCGTATTAATAATAAAGATAATTCAGGTCATAGACAGATAGAAATAATTTATTTAAAGCAGTGCTGCCCTACTATATAGGGTTGCTCGATACATACCACACTCATCAATATTTTTTTTTGGACATAGCACTTAATTATACTTAATCATATATATATATATATATATATATATATATATATATATATATATATATATATATATACAAATTCTTTTCCAAATCACTCATCATATACAATATTAATACTATAATATACCAATACAAAACAATCTCTGAACATTAAATAAGTAATAATGAACCGGAATCCCAACAAAGGGCCACATATGAACGCCGTTTATTGACTAACTCTAATAATAACTTTCAAATACAATAAAAATAATCTGACATTTAAGCACAGCTACATCGCCCGTTGTTTAAAATGTTTACAATTAAAACATTTTTCTCAATTAGCATTTGAAAACCATAACCATAATTAATATTTTTAAGATGAGTAAACGGCAGGATGGTGAGTGGGTGTTACGTTGCACATTACGAGAACAAAACGGCTTAAGTAAACCCGACAACGTGATGCCAAAAACACCAGCGAGAAGCCCCTACACATTTCTCCCCCAACAAAGCCCTGTTGAACCACATACTCGCATAATCGGATTTGATGTTATTCTCCAACCGACGTCTTGGTATCCTCCTTGTACGCTTCCCCGTCCTCTAAGAGCATTCGTAAATCTTTAATGATTGTTCCCTTTGGGCCAGGAATTACAGCAATTCTATAACTTCTATTTAATTAACAACTTCTTTTTAAATTTAAAGTTAACCCTTTTAATTTTTAATCAACTTATATAATTCATCATTATCAAAAGCTTCATCTAAAGTTTTCGGTATACTACTAGTATTCATAAGAACTTCAGGAAATGCAATGGTATAATAGATTCTAAACTTGAGACGGCTTAAAATGAAGTAAAATTGAAATTTTAGACAATATCTATTGTTAACAATAAGATGCTAACACATCTCAGGTATAGATTAGTTAACGCCGTCCTTTCAATTTAACTAATAATCAATTAATAGGAGATTACAATAAATATACAACTCAAAGTTTTTGATGGGCCATAAATAGAAATAAATACAAGAATTCCAAGAATCCACTTTTAATGGTTTTAAGTACATGCCTAACCATATAACATATAAAACTAATTTAATTAATACCGAGATATGATTTCATGGATTGATTTGCTGTTTAGAGCATTTGAAGTTCATGAATGAATTTAAAAAAAAAAACATAGTATCACGTAAAAAAGTTTGAAAATTCAAAATCATCATAGGTCATTGAGTTACGCTTCTACCATCTTGTACTTTGGACCATAGCTAAGAGAGATTATAACACTCAATAGAGATTTAACATCAGTTACATCGGATACAGCGACAATGGATGTAACGTTGCTAATATTTAAGGTTGAACCCATCCACAATAACGAAGTGCGTTTAGACTCAGCAAATGCGTTATGACCAATTTCGTTATTACACGTCCTTTTGAAATTATACATACACTCGTGGATTGAAAAAAAAAAAAAAAATCAAATAATAAACCGGTTGCTCCATTCCCGACAAAGGGCCATCATTCGCGGTTCATATAATAACTGTAATAAGAGTTACTTTTATAAGCCGGGGATGGCGGGTCGCAATAACCTGACGCTGACTGGTTAGTCTGAGGCAATCACTTCTCATCAATTGTCACGATATCGGGCTAGTAATTAGTCACTATCAAGACAGTCGTTAGTCATAATTACAACGGTGTTGGTAATTCGTTAATCGCGTTATTATACCTCTCGCTGGCTGCCGGCGTTTGATCCTAGCCGACGGGAGCAGGCTCATTACGCTGCAGACAAAGGGGTTTGGCATCGGCTGGCGTCATTAGGGGGTCTGGGGAAGCCGATTGAGGACCACGACTTAGGGAGAGGGGGGCACAAAAGGGGGGGGGAGAGTACAAAAGTCGTGTTCAGAATCCAAGAAAGTGGGTCACAATCCTTTAAAATTCGTTTTATTGTGAAAGAGGGTTCTTTCTCCCAAGCGCCTAATATCAGAAAAAGTTAATTTTGTAATAGGATAACGAAAAAATCTAATTTAGGCTATCTTGAAAACGGAAAAAATCTGTTAATATGTCCGATAATTCATACGAAAATCATATTAATTAAGGATGTCTTCTTCATGATGACATATTCTTTGTAATGCGCAGCAAAAAAGGCTTCGAAGAATACATTTTTTCTTATTATTATTATTACTATTTTTTTTTGGAATACACACGTATTATAATTTATTAAGAAATAATAAATTTTGTCACACTTAAGAGTATTAAGTATTAGAGCTATGTGAGTCTCATTCATACCATACATACAATAACAAAAACAAAAGAAATGGAACTTGAAATTTTTTATTTTTTTTTTGTTTGTTCTTCCCTACCTCGCCTTTTAGGCTATACGGGATTTTCCCGGGCTTGGGGGTGAGGGCGGGGAATTTAAAATCCCCTCCGGCACCGGGACGCGAACTCTTTTTAAATCTTCTCAAATCTGTAATCCGGTTGCCAGGCAACTCCGCGGTGCTGTGCACACGCTTGAGCCCATACGGCCACCCCGCCCCCTTATGGAACTTGAAACATAATATAAATACATAATTCGTAAAAACATATTCATGCTTATTTATAATAATCAGCCGAAGAAACTCTGAGTCTGACTCATTCCCCATTATCTCAGCCGCGTCACCGGGATTCATTTTTTTTTTATTTTTTATTTATTTTTTTAATATTATTTCTTAATGATATTTACAACTGTATTATATAAATACATATAGTAAATTTGTACATATGGATATAATGACATGAAAACACTTGCTGACTACTTAAGTAACTACCCAATGGTAGCACTCTAAATTAAAATTTCACAACATCATTCACATTAACAAAACACGAAGAGCAAGAAGATAATATGTATTACCAAAAATGTTAATAAACCTTTGATTTTAAAACGGTTAGAAAGTATGACATTGATAAAAAGTTAGAATAAATATGATAAATAAATAAAAACAGTAATTAACACAAGAGTAAGTAATAAAAATAGCTAAAGATCAATAAATATATTTAGTAATATATTTATATATTATTCTATAATAAAGAAATAAAAAAAAAGTTTAAATAGGACAGTTACCAGCTCATAAAGGCATAAGTTGGACCAACAACCTAATTCCATTTAAATCAGTTTGCATAGTATCCAATGAGAGAGAAATTAATTGAACAGATTATTTATCAGAGAATTTAGCTAAAATAAAATAGTCTTTATGCTCGAAATAAATGGGAATTCATTTCAACAGTAAAATAGAGAAATATGTCTGTCCTCTGACGTTAAAACTACACAGCGTTCGACGAGGAATTTTTTATTTGATCAATCAACCGCAAATAAAATATTCAGCTAATATTGACCTGCTTTTGAAACATTTTCAAATTTCATGAAACAAACTTTTTTTTTTTCTTCTTCTCGATTCCATTCTTTTCCTTCCGCCATTAGAAATTAAAACTACCCCACGTACGAAAAGTTGGTTTCATTTCATAAATTATTGAGATGCCTTATTAAATAGTTAAGAGAAGAAAGTAATTTTTAACTGGCAGCGGAATCCTATATATTTTTCAAATTTAAAGTGGAGCGTAACAGAAGAACGAAATATACATCATTTAGTCGGAGAAAAGCTATAGTCATGTAAAATGAAGCCTGGCTATATTTGATTAAATTTTAATTTTATAATTATTTTAAAATACATCTATAATAAAATAGTTTAAAAAGAATCATTCTAAAATTTAGATATAGATTTTTTTATGTAAAAAATGTATGGTGAACAATGTTTTTTTACAATGACCGAATGTAATATAAATATAAAAAGAAGTTTAAGAAAAAATAAAGAACTACTTTATCAGAATGAAGGAGAAAATTATATATTGAATAAATATTTCTAGCTTGGAAAATAAAAACTGGGAACATAACTTTTGACTATTTAGTATTGGCATGTTCCTAAATTTTATGAAATTCTTGGCAGCCGCGTTTACTCTATAATTTTTTACAGAAATTATCAGCATTCCTGGAAGTATTTGGTTCAATATTTGAATACCTAGGGAAATACTTCAGATAAAAAAAAATCAACAATATTCAATTGTTTTCGAGTTGGTATATCGACAAAGAAGATATGATTGAGAATAATCGATTGAGAATAAAATTTCAACAAACTAAAATAAAATAACTAACTAATTAAAATAAAAATGAGCCAAACATTTATTAAATTTTTTGTTTTTTTGCTTTCAATATTTTAATCAAAATTATATTTATTTTAAAATATTGCTGAACTTGAAACAATCCTGTTTGAACACCGAATTAAAACGCTAATACTATCCAAATGGAGTCATTTCTACGATACGGCAAGTATTGGTCGCACAAGAATTTTATAATTACAAATGAGCATTTTATCAGAAGCAAAAAAGTAAAGACTTAGATACAGATATTTAATATGAGTATGAAATATGTAGAAAGTTATACAAACTAAAAATAATGTATATAATTCATTTATAAAATTGTTATATTTTTTCATACTAATCGAAATACTCTCTCACTGAAGATCCTCTGACCCCTCACACTTACCTACCAAATATGCTAGTACTTGAATATCTTCAGTGCTCGGACCGCGGTTAGTAAGAGAAAGCATTACAATTTTTATAAATGAATTATATACATTATTTTAAGTTTGTATAACTTTCTAAATATTTGTATTGTAATATTAGTTAAGATTCATGTACCATCAATCACTATATTTTTTCATTATTAACCATTATTAGACGTATAACATTATATCTCTGATTGCATTTAAAAGTTTTCAGCCCTGATGATGACTCACATGTTTGGGTTGAAACGTCGGCACTAATAAAAACCTTATAATGACTGCGTCCTGAACATTTATCACCCAAGAAGGTTGCTATATTACAAATGATCATATTTTATAAATGTTTTTCTTCCTATTATTCATTGATGAGTTTTATTTCCGAAATTGTTTTTTGTTTTAACAACAAGTATAAGTTGTTTTTATTTATCCTTTGAAATTAGTTTTTGCCTCATAATACGATAATTTGTTATGGTTTTGTATCATTGTAAAATCGGTATTTTTTTAATTTTTTATTGTATATATTCAAGAGTTTATATACATTCGATTCTCACAATAGGTTCCTAAAAACGGCATCGTAAACAGTAATTTCACTATTTGGCAATGAAATGTTTTACATTATTATAAATATTCCAAATAGGGACAAGACATTGTTAAGAACCGAGAAGCCTGAAGAAAGAATTTGCAATTTCCAAACGTTTTTATGACTATAAAAAAACTATAGGTCGACTAAGCTATTCATACAGAATCCTAATTAAAATGTATTTCGTTTGCGGTTTCCCACTCTATATACGGAATAATACACCCATGAGTGGTCAAAACCCATCGAGGGAAAGCCAGACGAAACCTCAAATTAATAAGTAAGCCGTAATCCAGATTCCGGTTTGTAAAGGAACCTGAGACAGACCAACTAAAGGCTAACAAACGACCCAACGCCACCAACAAACTAATTTCCAAAACAATCCTCCATTTACTTGGGCTCAATTTCAGCAGTGCAATTTCTCCGGTAATGAATTTCTAAGGCAACGTTGACGGCGGTCTGGGTGGGCCATAAAGTCCCACTTACAAAGCTAATTGTAAAACATTTAAATAACTTTTGGCCGACCGTAAACTGCTATTATTTAGTCGTTTCACTCGAAACTTTCTCAAACCCGTAATTAATAACCTCGCCAAATGTAACCTCTTAAGTACCGGCCGATTCGAGTAAGGACAATTATCGAATAGCGGTTCCCCCGTTTGTCGTAAGGGCTAGAATCTCTTCAACAAGAAACCTTTTCGTAAATTGAATAGATACGAATACGAGTCAGTGTTATTTTGAAAATTAATAAATTTTCAAAGTGGTCAAGTATACGCTATTTCTCAGATAAATACCATTTTACACTAGACATTCCGCTGACACTAGATGCACTTCGGTTTATCAGGACACACGGGCGGATCTACGGGGGGGGGGGGGCTTTCGGGCTGAAGCCCCCCCCCCCAAAATGGAAAAATATAACCATGTTTTATCGAACAAAATATTAAAAAAGTAACTCTTAAAGTATTATTGTTCGTGTGATTAATATTAAAAGGGCTTTAGGAATCACTTAAACACCATTTCATACAGGTAGTTAGTTTCTTTCTTTTTTTCCAAAGTAATTATCGCAATATTTATGAAAAAAAAGCTTTCGGGCTGAAGCCCCGCCCCAAAATTAAATCCTGGATCCGCTAGTGTCAGGACATACGACAGATCACTCAATGTGATTGCCAAACTTGAAGAAGTGGCCCGATCTTCATGTTTTAAGTTCTTACGCCTTTATCCCTCTCCATCATTTAAAATAAAATCCATTATTATATTCTTATAATACTCTTTCTTAATTATAAACCTGTTTTATTTTTTTTATTATTTCCTACCTCAACATGTTTGCAATACGAGGAGAAGGTCGAGAGATTCATTCCGTGGGTCAGCCACGAAATAAATTTCAACCAGTCAGGCCTGATTCGACCGGCGCACAGTGGAACGAGTACGGGAAAACTCACGATATCGGCTAAATTTTTTTTAGAACTGAGAAAACTAGATAAACTGTTTGATTTGATAACATTTGAGTTCCCGAGAATATTTTCGGTTGGCAGAAGTTTACTGCTTTTATTGAATAGTTCAGTTGAAAAAAAAAAATTCGTTGCTATGTTCGAGAATGTTTAAGTCA